ATATAAACAATTTATTTCATTAATATTATTATTAGTAATCTATTTATTGAGATATATTTATCTTAGAGTTAAAAACTTTTTTAACTAATATGTACATATAACTAGCCTAAATCTAACTTAATTCTAACTTAGCCTAACGTCTTAAAAAATGATTCTTTTTGCTCGTCAATACACTTATGTCTCACACTTCTTTTATTTTAAAGTAAAAAAAAAAGGAAAAGAGAAAATCTTTTTTTTCTATCTTGGTAATCATTGATATTCAATTCCGTAACAGTTTTTTTGAAGCTCGATATATGATTAATTTTGTTGTCCGTATATGTAGCGTATATGTAAAAAAGAACTTGTGATATAATTATCCATAAAAATAAGTTAAAACAATAAGTTAAACATAACTCCTTCCATATCTTATTTTTAAAAACAAAATAATAAATATTCTTGAATATCAATGCATCACCAGCAAACATTGACAGCCTTATTTGCAATACATGAATAATGGGGGATAACAGACTTTATCGAAAAGTTTTCATTACATAACTTTACTATTGAGCAATCTGTCAACTCTTCTATTTCCTAAATACAATTATCTTCATCTTCATCTGCAATATGTAGTAGCTGACTACTTTCCTGTTTAGGTACATAGGTATATAATTTATCTGACATGAGAGATATATGATTTACATCTATCTTCATGTCTAGAATATTTTCCCTTTTTGTCTTTAAAGCTGATTTTAAAACACACATGGAATTTAGAGCAGCCGATGAAAGATGTCGATTTTTTTTATTTACATCAGGTAGAAACGAAAATATATGTTTTTTCCAGATCCACATTCGAATTTGGAACTGCTCTAATAGCATTTAAAACTGCTTTTAAATTGGAATACTTTATATTGTCAGTTTTATGTTGCAAAATTTTCTTCCACATGTTATCAAAGTTTAGTTTTGACAAATTTTCTTTCTCTGCTTCCGTAATGTCAGAATATAACATAAATCATTCTTTTTTTATTGTTATCATCTAAATCACCAATGGTTTGGACGATATAAGAAAGATCGTTAAATGACGTTTTCTCTGTCAATATTATACAAAGTTATGTGCGACTGAAACACTTTTAATTTATATAAAAATTGATTTTTAATTAGCATCTTTTATAAATTTCTTCGGCAGCTGTATAATATAAAATTGTAGACAATTTTTTCGAATATTTACAACTTTGTCCACATATCCTTCATTCATTAATTTATTGAGATATTCCTCACAGTCGAGCCTAAGTTAATATCATTGAGAGATTTGTGATTTTCATTTTCTGAAAATATAATACTGGGTAGATTTTTTAAAAGGTCTGATTTTATGAAATTTCTAGAGATTTGTATCAGAAGATTTATTGATTCAGAATGCAAAAGATGAATTCTTGTTTCCTGTAGCTTGGAAAAATATACTAAATGCATTAAAAAATTGTAAAAAATATAGTGTAAAAATAATAAATATGCTTATATCTTTTACTATAGACAACAAATCTTTTCTCAATGATGTGTTTTTACTCTTGATTATTTTAAAAAATTCTTTTAAAAAAATTCTGAATAATATCCCAAGATTCAAGAAGATTTCCGACACATGAGTAGCAAACAAGCCATTGCGGTTCATTTAATTTAAAAATTTTATGTCTTCCTTGAAAACAATTTAAGAATTCATAAAAATGTTTTGAGCGTTCAGGATTATTAATACAAGGAAATTTAGCATAATTAATATAATTTGCAATTATTTTAATAGATTCCTCGCAAGTTGGAGCCATGTTAGAACATACGGCTTCTATAATTAATGTAATAGAATGACATGGACACGATAACGTTAAGAGATTTTTACATTTTTCTTCAAGTTTTTTTTTAAACGAAAAATGTTTCTCTGACATAACCAATGCGTTATCACATGATAAGGCAATAATATTTGAAATTGATATTTGCAACTTATGTATTTCCATTTTGAAAGCATTAAATAATTTATTTATTTACGATCTGTCGTATCAATATTCTATTAATTTTACTAATTGTTTATGTACATCTAATGTTTTGATATTAACATATCGTACGAGAAATGCCATCCATTTTCCATTTAAAATTTCAGATGTCTCATCGATGAAAACAGAAAATTTAGTATTTTGAATATTTTCAACTAAATGATTGGTTTCGATTGGACACAAAACATTTGAAATAATATTCGCACATTTTGTACAACCCATTCTCATATTATTTAATATTTTCAGCTCTTCCCCTACATCTTGAAAAAAATTCAGAAGTGTTTTTGCAGTTTCATGTGAAATATTGTGCTCGGCAATTAATGCGGCATAACAAATTTCCGCTAATTCTTTACGCTCTTGAAACTGCTCAAATGATTCATCAACTTGTTCTTTTAATTCTTCGTTTGACGAATTGAGCTCTATAACATTCTTTACATCCCTATTTCTTGCAATTTGCATGACGAAAAATTTGCGATAGACCACAAATTAGAGATATATCACAAATTGCACAAGCAAATAAATTTGTATTATCCGAAACTTCGCATAACCATGGTTTGAATAGTTCAATGTCTAACTAATGCTTTTGAAATGTCATTGCCTTATGCAAAGTTTTTTCCTTCGGATCTATTTTATCACTATTAGCTAAAAATATACCTTTTTTATTAATGTTATCGTTATGGCTTGTTGATTCCGCATACCTTACAATATGAAATAAGCCGCATGAAAACTTTTTATCAAATATAATGCAATGACAGAATCATATCGCCAAAGGTTATTTTGCGTAACCAATACTTGAAACTTGAAAATCATCCGTAAGCCAATTCTCTCTAAAGTCTAGTGTTCGTTTTTTTTTACTGTATTACACGTTATCATACTGAAACCAAGAATATAAAGGAATTATAAAATTATAAAATATAAAATTGAAAATATTTATTTAGGATTTACATAACCACATCCAAGTAATCACACAAGTCACACGATGACTGACTCCTTATATGAACTATCTCACAATTTTCATCAGAAAATTCTCACAAAATCTTTGAGAAGCTTTTATAAATACAATTCGCAAGCTTATAAAGAATATAAGTTAAATTTTTGTGTGTGGATGATAATTTGACAAGAGATAAATCCTCTCTTTGCAATTTTACTTTAATAATATTTTAACAATAGGCGATTAAAATGTCACTCGTATGTGTTGAATCTAGTTGAACTCCTTGATCAATTTTGAACTTTTTCTGTAAGTTTCATGACATGTAGAAAAACATAAACAAAATTTGAACAACTCCTACACATAGGACGCTTGCTGTGCGGCAGAAGTGGCGCGGTAGTCAATCATTTTGTCGCTTTTGTAAAATTAAAGTCCTGTTCACAATAGATTTGTTCTTTTTGAAGATTTTATATTTTTGAATTTGAACTGGTTGTATTAGTTCACAGTTTATCTTTCTCTCTTTATACTGGAAGAAGAAAGATAAACTGTGAATTAGTACAATCAGTTCAGCTAAAAAGAACAGACCCAATAAAAGAAATATTAGAAACAAATATTAGATTTTGAAAATAAAAATTAAACCCACTCCGTGTGTATATTCCGTGTAAGTCGCAAGTTTAATGAACTTGAGATTCCTCTTTTGTTCGGATTAATTAAATTTTAATATGATCCCTAATCCGTAATAGTTAATATATTTTTATAATTATACGATACTAAGTTAACGTATAATAAATTCTATACTATATATCAAATTTTATGTCCATTTTCTACATATTAATCTTATTAATGTGTAACAAAATTGCATGTAGAAATGATGTTTTGTCATTTAATAGTCTTTTTTTCAATATGAATTTGACGTTGATAGTTTAAAAAAATATTGCGAGATATAAGATATTGCTTTTTTATTATAAAATATTGAAATATATTCTATAAATGTAACAATCTTATCATACAGGTAAACTTGACTTTACAGACGATCTAAACATTCTTGTAAAGAATATGAGGCCAGTTGTACCTCCTGGTATATGACTTATTAGAAAAGATAACGTAGCTATCAATTGCAAGACAGCGCATAATACTGTTAAAGGAGTAGATTGCAAATGCAGAGCAAAGTAGAGTGTGCCTGCCAATGTTGCAAAATACGATATAGTGAAATATCTTTTCTCAGCTATAAATAATGTTTTCATATAACTCGATCCCCACAAAAAACAGAAGCTGGAAGAAATCTGTCATTAAATATATATTCTTTTCATATATATAAATATCTTTTAAGTAACACATATATGTACATAAACATGTATACATATACATACATATGTACATACCTCATTAGAAAGAAGAGACTTCCTAAGGAATAAAGCAGAGCAAATTTTCTTGCTTTAAGTAATAAAACAGGAATATAAACTGCTGACAGACAGAAGCATAGTAATCCCAGAAGAAAACATACGGAGAAAGATATGAGTCTTTGCATTCTTGTCTATCAAAATAAAAAGAGCAATATATTTTCTAATATTTAAATATTCCATATTATTGATATTAACCTTATTTAATATTTAAAGAATATTTTGCAAGAATGATAGTGTAAATCTTAAACATATATAAATTGTTTATTGATAATAGAAGATCTTTATCGTATTTATATAAATAAAAATTAAATGAATTTTTCATAGCTATTTCTCTTGTAGAAATATTTCAAATAGAAAATTTGAATAGAATTAAACGCAATACTGAATATGTGAACAAAGCCGACTTTACTTAAATTTTAATTAATTAAATTGGTAGATTTGCTCATAGTTTTCAACTGTAATTGTTACTCCTAATCAAATCTTTCTTTTCATGTGTCAAATGACAAAAAATTATGTTTACAATATTACAGGCATTATTTGCCAAATTAATCATCGACAAAATTAATTTATTTAAAGTCATCTTAAATCTTGTGCTTTTATTTAGTTATTAGTACTTTGGACTAATTAGTATCCTAATATTAATCAACATCAATAACATCATCTGTTGGTTCGATGAGGTTATGAGAATATGCATTACCATAGTAGGACAACATTCTCGTTGTGATCTTTGAATCCATCCTGCATCTTCCATCATTTCATCAGTATCTCGTCTGAACCATTTTCCAAATTTCGTTTTTGATATCGTCACCGAGGGAATGGTGATTTTATATTGTTTTTCATTTTTGTTGCTGAGAAGATACTCATTCAGCTCTTTATTTAGATCGGCCATTTTGACATATTTCTATGTTTACGCTATAGGTATTATAAACTGTGAACGTATCGACTGTAAATGAAGGATTGCTGTTATCGACGATGACTAATTGCACCGAATTCGATATTAATTAAAAATGGATAAAATTAATATAATCAAATAAGTTGTATTTATTAACGATTCTTTTCATCACACAATTTCCAAAATACGCTCGATTTTTAACCATTTGCATTTCTAATAAAGGAAAATTTATTTACAGTGTTTTGTACAAAAGGTCGTTTTTCTTTTAATAAGAATTTTCAAAATGCTAATTATAGCAAACTGTTGCGACGATTGGATAAATATCTTAAAACATGTATTATTAACAAATTGAAATATATAAAGTTATATTAAAATTATTCAAACAGTTTAATAAAAAGAGTTTGAATTTATTAAACATTATTTTTTAATATAAATAATATAGTTATATATTTTGCATATTATTCAACCCTAGTGGAAATGAAGATTCGAAGCGTAAATGTAGCATAAAGAGAAAACGTGAGCGAACTTTCTAGGAATGTAAATTCGAACATTCCCGGCTAATAATAAGCTGACGTAATTTGTTATTATTTTGACGATATCAGCCATTTTGACGAAAAATGATATTAAGATGGTGACAAATAACATCAGATTGCTACCTAGATCGAAATATAAAACATAAAAAAAAAATATTTTACGTTTCCAGTGCCTAAATTTACGAATTTTCTGGAAGGTTTACTCTCCCCCTTTTGTTCATTCTCTCCTCACACTACAGTTATGCTCCAACCTTTATTTTTCCAGAGAAACGTCAGAAGGTTGTAAGTATATATCATATATGTATGTAAATATATATATATCATATATAATATATCATATGTAAATATATCATGTACTAAATATAATATAAACGACTCCGCGCGTTTCGCGCGAATGAAATGCCACGATGGGTTTTCAAACTTACATTTATTTAAACAAATCAACATTGACCTCATATTTACGGATTGTATACTGTATTTGTTGCACAGAGGATGTACCTTTCTATACGCGAGATCTACGTATCTCGCGACGCGTCGTATTTGACAAATCATTACGATCGGGGATCGAGGAAATAGGAGGAGAAGGAAGAGGAAGAGGAGAAGGAGAAGGAAGGGGAGAAGTAGAAGGAGAAGAGGGCAGATAGATGAAGAGGAGGATTGGACTGTGAGTATCGATAGAATAATTAATAACGAGATTAGAAGAATCGGACTAGAAACAAGTCTCACGTTATCACAATGTAATATTGAGTCGCATAAGTCGTAATAAATATAATAGTAATAATAATAATAATAATAATAATAATAATAATAATAATACAAGGTCGTTCGTGTGAGAAGAAGAGGAATGATATGAATAAGCGCACAAACGTAACAATACAATTCGGGAAACTCAGACAACAGACCGATCACATCCGAAATACAATACACGCTACGAATAACCGTTAATAACCCAGGTTCGCTTAATATCCGTCTTATATAATTTTCTTGTGTCTTTTACCGCTAAATACGCACTGCTCACGGCCGCTTGATCTCTTGATTATACGATACATAGGATGAGACTGCTAATTATTCAACATGAAGATCTCTAAACTTATTCTCACATGCGCCGCGAAACGAATTCACCCCGGGGACTGAGATGGCTCATCAATCGTGTCGTCGACAGATTGATGTTTGCATACTTAATCGCGAAACTCCGTATATGCTGTGTATAAGCTCAAGGGAAAATACAAACGAGCGAGTAAAGACGCGCGATGAAAATCCGCGCGGTTGTTCGTCAATTTAACTCGTGACAGCAACGAACGCCCCTTTCATCTTTCCGACAGCAACGAACGCCCCTTTCATCTTTCCGTCGATTCCCTCTGTGTAATTCCATTTTCGTAAGTCGAGCTTCGAAGGATCGCGAGAAAGCCTTTTGCGAAAAATCGCTTTCGAGACGAAGAAAAATAATTTGGCAAATTTGATCCTTTGTCACTCTCCCTCACTAACTTTTACTGTCGAAGTAGAAAACAAAAGAAGAGACGAAACCTTTTCTCTCGTTCGTCACATCTTTATGTATACACGGATTTACGCAATTAAGCGTATGTTATGCGAGATGCGTGCGCTTGTATACATGTATCTATTTTCTCTCTCGCTCTCTCGCTCTCTCTTTCTCTCTTCCTTTCTCACGTTTCTATCACTTCTTCTTCTCTCTCTCTCTCTCTCTCTCT